AACATGTATGCTTTTCAGTAAGGAGTCCTAAAAATTGTATGCAATTCATGACTTCCAAACACTGAGCAAGTTTGGGGGCTCATGGCTCTGGAAACCCCCAGTGGGAACTGACCTCTCCCATCCAACCATGGGGGTCCCTGTATCATCTCTAAAAGGAAGAGCTAGCAAGACCATCTTCAGTTCCTCGTTCTTTTCTCCTTAGTCACATTCTTCCCCCTGCAGTGGGAATGAACCCAGGGCCTTCTCACTAAGCTATATCCTTATCCCTTTCTAATTTTTAAAATTTTGAGACAGGATCTCACTAAGTGGCTCAGTTGCCCAAGCTGGGCTCGAACTTATAATCTTCTTGCTTCGGACTCCTAGGCTGCTGGAATTACAGGTGTTTGTCAGCATGTCCAGTTAATGCGTTCTTTTCTCTACACACTAATACAATGGTATGTTATTGCCTCGCATAGGGCTGTTGGGCTCACTTTGCACACAGGGTTTCCCCCCCAATACTGGTTATGAACCCAAGACTTTGCATATTAGTTTTATAAAGATGCTAGCAGTCCTGAAAAAACACCTGGTAAAACACCCAGTAAAAATGAGTTAGTTCTTAACCATACGCTCACTAATGAGGACTCAAAAACAGAAAACCTTTTGCAATGACAAAGCCTGGAACCAAGGCTGAAAATGGTAACATAGAGCTGAACAATGGGGTCAGTGGCCGGGGCTCCAGCCCAGTCCTGCCTCGCTTTTTTTTTTTTTTCTTTCAAAATAAGTGAGGGACCTGCCACACTTTGCATATGTCTTTGGGGAAGTCACTGAGCACCTCTGGACTTGTCTCCTAATAGGCTATGCAAGGAGGGCTGGTGGGCCCGGAGATCGCTGATGACCCCTTTCTCTCCCGCCTTCTTGGTTCCATCTGCCCTCTTGCCAGTGCTACTCCTTGTTCACTGCTGTCTAAGCCACTTCCTTGTCACTGAGATACAACACCTGACAGCCACAGCTTAAAGGAGGAGAGGTTTGTTTGGCTCGTGTTTCCAGTCTGTGGTTGGCTGACTCCAAGACAGAAATGGCAAGGCAGAGGAGAATGGCGGAGAGAGCTGCTCATATCATGGCAGACAGGGAGCAGAGAGAAGGGAGAAGCCAGAGAGGGAGATGTGAGCTTCCCACCAGACCCCACTTCCCGACAGCAAGTCAGCTCCAGCGCCCTCATGAGTCAATCACACTCCAAAGGGCCTGCCTGTGAGTGCAAGAGGCCTCTGAGGGACATTCTCGACCCCAATTGTAATGACTGTTGTCCCAAACTTGACTGCACTCTCTTTCTCTTACGGTGTCCAGCTAATATAGGGAAGTTGGATCGAGAAAGAGAGGAGAGAAAGGGAAGCCCAAGAAGGGAAAGAGCAGGTGGTCAGGCAGTGCTGGGAACTGGATAGGAAGACCAGGGGCAGGGGCAGAGATGGCTGACACCTTGGGACCCCGGCTCGCACTCCTCCCTCACTCTCATACTCTGTCGCCAGGTCACTGAGGATGGGAGATGCCACACCAGGTCTTGCCCTTGACTGGCTATGCTGAATCATGTGTTTATTTGCCAACTGACCTTTCTGATCATTTTTTCCACTGCTCTTGGGCTGAATGCAAATTCCCCACCTTAATTTTACTATTGGCCAATATTTACCAAAGGATTACAAAGAACTACACTAAACATTTACATGAATTATCTCCTTTACTCTTAATTCCCTAGGGAAGTTTCAATCAATGTAGCCATTTTATAGGTGAGGAAATGGAGGCTTTATGAGGCCATTTGCCCAAGGTCACCGTCAGTTAGAGCCAATACTGGAACTCAGGCAGCACGTGTATCCTTGAGCACCACGCCATGAGCCCTCAGATCTTCAGTTTCTCCTCAGCCAGTCCCTTTGTGACTGACCAGCCTACATGCACGCACCCACCCACACATGCACGCAGCTACCCCATCCGATCCTATAGTGATTAAACCAAACAAAGAATCTATTCACCTCCCTACCTGTTTCATAACCTGTGAGCTACTTTTCAATCACTGTGACCAGGAGCAAAGCAGCCACTAGCCGGCCTTCGAGTTGGGCACTGCCTACTCGACCCAATTCTGCAGGCCCCAAAGCTCTTAGCAGAAACCCCACCTCTGAGACTAGAACAAAGATCTAAGGAGATTTGCAGGAAACTTTTGAGAGCTATCTACTCCTGGAGATCAGCTTCAAGTATTCTAGCCTTTCTCCCTTCCCCTGCCCCGCAAAGGAGCCCCAGTTTAGCATCTGGAGCTAGATGCAGTAACAGAAAAGAGCAAAGCTTGGGCCTCGGCATCATGTCTGCTTTCAAAGTGCTTCAGTCCTTTACCCATCAGCAAAACAACTAATCCATCCCAGAATGCTGTTGTGAGGAAATTCACTAAGGTAATGCATAGTAAGTGCTCAAAACAGAAAAAGTATCCATTAATTGCTAGCTACCTTTTTTGCAGCATTGGGGATTGAGCCCAGGCCCTTTGTACTGAACTACACCCCAGCCCCTTTTTTACTTTCTGTTTTGAAACAGGGTCTTGCTAAGTCACCTAGGCTGTGCTTGAATTTGTGATCCTCCTGCCTCAGCCTCCCAGAGTGCGGTGATCATAGGCTTGCACCGTCACCCTTAGCTACTACTATCATTTTCTGACTCTCCCATCTAGGATGTGCTTCCCAAATTTATCATGTGCTTCCCCCATGCCCCAGAGCTCATACAGAGGGCAGCTCCCCAATCTCCACCCAAAAGATCAGCACTGGTGAGCATCTCCTGTTCAGAAAGCACTGTACCAGGAACTGGGGACAGGACATGAGCGAGATGGGGCCCTGCGCTACAGGTCATGCCTGGAGAAACAGGACAGAAAAGGCCATTTCCATGTCACACGGTAGGGTAGGCAACAACACACGCTAGGGAGCAAGAGAGGCTGGGCAGACTCCATAGGGCTCTGGGGGCCAAGACCTGGATTTGGAACTGGATTCTGAAGGCCAGGAGCAGCCCCCAAGAGGCTGCAAGCAGAGGAGTCAAGGGCACTGGTTTGTGCTTCAGAAAAACCTCTGAGTTGGGAAAGCGCGAGTAAGCCAGAGAAGAAACAGAACCCACACGAGATAGTGCAAGGGACAGACGGGAAGGGGGTGGGTTTTGCTGTGTCTGGAAAGTGAGCACCAAAGCCCGTGACTCTGGCGTGGACATCGTCCAAGTCTAATCCCTCAGTGCTCAGGTACTAGGGGAGAAGGTGACAGGGACCTTGTCATTCACTGTGTTTTAAAACTCACCATTTTCTTAGGGCACTTAGGACGACTGAACTTGTACTTAGTTATCTGTGGTTTATTACTTTGTCCCTCAATGAACATTCATCATCACTGTAAATGCCAGGTGAGAGGGTTAGATGACAACTTAGACAACTTAGATGCGGGGAGGGTTCTGATGAGAAACCAGCCAATGGGGACGGATCAGCAAATACAGCACTGGGAATACAGGAGTGTGGCTTCTGGAAAGGAAGGGAACAAAAAGGAAGATGGCGGAAAATAAGCGGGGTCAGACCTTGTGGGGCCTGGGCCAAGGCCTTTGAACTCTGAGTGGTGAGCCAGGGAAGCCACTGAAGGTTTGAGACAGCGGACAGACAAGCACAGCCATCCCTGAACAGATTCCTCTCAGAGAACTCCGGGCGTCTTCTTCCAGCCTCCTTTTGGAATCCCTAGGCTTCAATTTTCTATTTTCTGTCTGGACATCTTTTTCTCACCTAACACTTTTGAGGAATACTCCATAAATACGTCTGGAGAGCACAAACTCACATACCCAGAGAAAGTACACCAGAAGTGCGAGAGAAACTGGGCAAACTAGACAGACATAGACCCTTCATAAAGGAAGCTTGCCAAGGGTCCCCAACATGCTGAGGACACGGCCCAGGCCTTTCACCCGGAGTGAACGGCTTGGGAAGACTAACGAGGTATCTGTAAGGAGCAAGTCCAACTCTGCAGTCACCCCATTTAAGCAGCACAAATGCTTCAGGATGAGGATCAGGATGAGGGCTCAGGAGCACACCCTGGTGGGGAGGGAAGCAGTGCTGTCACTGTGCACTTAGTACATGCCAGGCACTGCGCTGCACTTTCATGGGTGCCTGTGTACATAAAAAGGGGGTTACAAGGCCATTTGGCTCCCCCATTGTCCCCTACCCTCTGGCTCAGGACCCTCCTGGGTTTGCTCTGCTGTGAGGCCTTATGCTGGTTCTCACCCTCCCTGGGGGCTCACCCCCTCCAGTACTGCTGTAACCCCCACTCCACAAAGCAGGAGAGAACTCCAAGGGGTGGTGGAAACTTCAAGTTGAGGGATCCTGGGTTCAAGTAGCTTCCTGCTAAACACCTAAGGATGGTTTCTTCATATTTTAAGGGATCAACTTCCTTTCTGGGGACACCCACTTCAATTCTCTATGTACATGTTGAGTGTTCACACTCACTCATCAACAGGGAGCAGAAAAAGCAAGTGCAGGGCCGGGGATATAGCTCAGTGGCATTAGTGCCTGCCTGGCAAGTGCAAGGTCCTGAGTTCGATTCCTGGTACGAAAAAAAAGCAAGTACAAAAACCCAGCAGACATCAGGGAATCCAGAAACGCATTAGACTCCATGGGGGCTTTTCAGAAATGAATTCAGCTTCTGCACTGTTTGAGTCAGTGGTAGAAGGGGTTCACATTACCTGAGCCATCGCTCTGTTTATGGAAGACATTCTTGGACAAGGTGGACAAGGGGGTTTTTTTCTCCAAGATTCAAAATCCTTAACAGGAAAAAGGACCTTCCACAGAGAGAGCCGCTCTACAGAGTCGTCTGTGATGTTATCACAGTTGAACTGGAATCCAAAATACACTCAGACACAGACTTGTGCAACAGGCACTGCACTGCTCCCATTCAGCTCACTGCCAAGCCCGCGGCAGCCTCATCCCACGCCCACGCCCACCACCTACCTGCTGGGTCACCTCGTGGAACAGCTCTCGCGCTGGGGACAGCTGGGCCATCCTGCCGGACACGGAGACCCCTCTGGAAGGTAAAGGCATCCATGGTCAGGTACCCTCCTTCCTTCTCTCATTGTCCATCCGTGCCCTACCTGCCCTGCACACCTCCCTGGGGCCCGCGGTACCCAGACTGTGCTCAGATCCCGCTGTCCTGAAGCCAGTGCGCCCGCGGCTCACTCTCCTGTCCCGTCAGTGTGTGAGGGTCACGGTTTTCACTCCTCCCCATCCTTAGGGATACTCGTCCAGGGCAAGGCCGCCAGGGGCCTCCTTGAGCCCAGTAGGGGCTGAGGACGCGCAGACTGGGCGCTGAGCAGGGTGCCAGGGGAGACAGGCAGCAGGTGGAGTCGGGAGCCGCGGGCACGTGGTGGGCTGACTGGGGGCGGCGAGGGTGCAGGTGTGGGGAGGCCGCGGGAAGGGACCCCACCCCTCGCCCACCCTCGCCCGGGACCGCGCGCCCTCACCTGCTCAGGAGCGAGCTCCGCCACCCGCTGTCCCCGCCCCGCCGCCACGTGGCTGACACCCAGCCCCGCCTCCGTGCAGGTGCAGATGCGGGGTAGGGTGCAGAGTCGCCCTTGGGTGCCGCCCCAGGACCTCGACAACTTCGACCTCGCGGGCATGCGCAGGGTTGGGGTAAGGTTTGCCACCCTCTGTGGCTCCCGAGGGGATCCCGGGTTAAACGTCACCAGCCTGGCCTGAGGGGGACGGAGCTGCCCCTGCGGCTGGGTCTCGGGCAGAGCTGCCCAGTGCGTGAGGCTGCGGCTCCTGGGCAGTACAGACCATCGGGATAGGAGTCTGAGACCCTGCGCACCGGGTCCCAGAGTGCGCTGGCTGCCTGCCCGGGTGACACATTCCTAGGGCGAGGAAAGTGCCCCGACACGCAGGTGTATGGTGGAGGGCTGCCCTGGCCGCCTTCAGCAAAAACCAGAACCGCCTTCCCTGGGGTGAAGCAAGGTTTCCAGGGCTTCAGGAGGCAGAAAAACCAAAAAAACACACAGAGAGATGACAGGAGTTCCATCTCCAATCCCACAGCTTCCTCGCCCTCAAATAACTCGCGAGGCTTCCGCGTGGGCTTCTAAGGAACAGGAGGGCAGCAGAGAGTGCTGCCCACGCCCACAGCCCTTTGTGTGGAACCCCAAAAATAGAGGTTGTTCTTTTAAAAACAAAAGAGAAGGCAAGCTGAGGAAGGCTGACAGAGCCCAAACGCTCTGTTCTGTGCCCGCAAAGCTGTGTGTGTGTGTGTGTGTGTGTGTGTGTGTGTGTGTGTGTAGGGATGTTGCACACACATTTGCCATTTTAACCACTTTACAGTGTGCAGTTCTACAGCATTAGTCACTTTCACAATGTTGTGCAACCATGCCATCTCCTTCCAAAATATTTTCATCACCCCAAACTGAAATTCTGTGCTTACTAAGCAATAACTCCTCATCTCCCCTATCCCCAGCCTATGATGACATCTAAGCTGCTTCCAGTCTCTAAATTTGCACTGAGTATTTCATAAAAGAGGAATCATACAATTTGTCCCCTGGTGACTGACTGTTGTGCTTAGTGTAATGTCCCTGAGGTTCATCCACGTTGTAGTGTAATTCAGAACCTCACTCCCAGCGAAGAAGGATGACAGTATATCCCTATATCTATCCACATAGCCAACAGAATCATCTTTCCTACCTTTGGGTCACATATGGCACTTTTTTTTTTTTTTTTTTTTTTGCCTTAAACTGGTTTCTTGTTTGCTGTCACTCTCTGATGGGTCTCCCCCAAGAGTCAGTGTGAACTGTGAAGGATCCACATTTAATTCTATCTCAGCCTGAGTTAAAAACATTAAAAAAGGAAATCAATGCCACTTTATAACTACCTGCCGCTCCCCATCTTCTAAATAAATGAGTAGATTCCTTCAAAGCTTACAGGCGCCTGCTAAACCTTAGAGCAAATGTATCTGTCTCCTTCATGTTAAAGCTAAGTAGAAGAACACTGTTTTTGTCATTTGCAAAGAAAAAGGTGTTTGCTGCTTAATGTAATTTGTAACAATGATACTAACTTTAAAAAACTATGCTTCTGTTGAAAAATAGTATCTTGCACAGCCTCAGAACAAAACATTTCCATCTTTAAGATTCTACCTTACATGACTTACTAGAAAGATACTCACTGCAGCATTGATTGGTAGTAGTTGAAGAAAACAAGAATAACCTAAAACCCCATCAGCTGAACACTGATTAACGTTATGGTGCAGCCAGATGAGGATAGCTGGTGTTAGAAGGTGGTTCTATTACTAATATGGAACTCTGTTTACATGTTATTGAATAAAAGAGCAAGTTGCAGAGTAATGCACATGGTATGTTATTCATATATATACATATGTTAAGATATATAGAGAAAAATACATGTAAATATGTTCATAGTGTTTCTAGAGACTGGAATTGAGATGGTAAAGTGGAAGAAGAAACCTACTCTGGTGAATAAATGCTGATTTTTATTGATTTTTTTCTTACAACAAGCACATGTAAGAAAATTAAAAAGAAAAATAATATAGATCAGATTATATTTTCAGAGATGCTGCACCGATACGTTTTGTTGAGAATGGACAAAGTAACATTGCTTGGCTTCAGAGCCAAGACACAAAGACAGCAGGGCGTCCACTCATCTTCCTAATCTTCGAGCACTTCCTCTTGGGATTCAGCCACCATTTGATGAGGAATCCCAGGCCACAAAAGAGGCCAGACGTGGATGTTCCCAACAACAGCCAGCATCACAGCCAGATCCGTGAGTGACAGAGGCCTTCAGATGATTCCGGCCCCCACAGAGCTCCCAGACGTGGCCACCTGCCCTTGCTGGGCTCTGACTGAATGCTTGGCACACAGAAACCATGAGAGAATAAATTACTGTCGCTGCTCTCAGCCACTAAGTTTTGGGGTGGTCTGTTATGCAACCATAGACAGCAAATGCACAGTCAAAGAAGGTAAAAGTGGTTTGTTTTCTTTTAAAGTATTCTTATTCATTCACCGTCTAAATTCCCTGTAACTTCAGCCCAGCTGTGTAAAAAAAATGTTACTAAATTCACCTATTTTTTCCTATTCATTAACAACTTAAGCCAAAGTTGGAGCATACAATAAATAGGGAGGCTGTTGCTCTCCCCAGCTGTAGCCAGGCACCCCTCGCCTCCTCTTTGCCAGTGCTTGTGCTGAGAATCGTCTTCTATGTGAAGGCTGGAGAGGAAACTACGTCTTGAAATCATTTGTCAAAAGATTGAACAAATCTTTTGAACCCGGGGAAGAGATCTGAGCTGGGACACAGTCAAGCAGAAAGGAAACGTGAAGGCAGGCTGGAAACATCACATCAGGATGTCTTCCAACCAGACCCCTGAGTCAGAGTCCAGGGGCCCCGAGATGGGTTGGTTTGTCTGCTGTGTGCTGTGCCTCACAATCACCTAAGGCAGCTTTCAGCCCTGAGAGATTTTGGCTTCCTTACTTCATGGATCTGGAAGGGGCCTGGGCACCAGCATCTTCCTTAAATCCCTCCAGTGCATCTCAAGCGCAGCCAAGGTCGAGAATCACGGAATTCCTAGCCCAGTAGCTCCCCTCTCTCCAAAACACCTGAGAGCTAGAAGGCATCTTGTTGGCAGCGGTGTACTTCCTCAAGTTCCGTTGCAACTTTTAATGGGAGGGAAGGGTGTGAAGTCTGTCTCTGACAGATGACAAATATTTAGTTTGTCACCCTGCTGTCCCTCCGGGGAGCACACCTGACTGTTTTAAAAATCACAGGAATCCTGCACACACTCAGGAAAGGGTCCTGAGGATGAAGCCAGGATTTGAACCTCAGCCTGGTTCCAATACCAGGCTATCTTCTCTGCACAGTGCAGCTTTTTAACCCAAGGGAAGAGATAAAACCGAAAGAGGTAAAAACAAAGAAAAAAAAAAAAAACTGAAAAAAGTTCTGCTTCCTAAATTTTGGCCCGCACTCCGAGAACCCTAGGCTCATGACGCAAAGCTGTGGGAAGGGCCACGGGCAGGGCTGCAAGTGGGGACCAGGAAGGACAGGTCAGGGGAGAAGCCTCAAGAGGCAGGATGGGCTTAGCTCCCCTGGGTAGGGCCAAGTGGGGAGGGAGGAGCCACTGTGTCCTGCTGTCAGGTATTCCCAGCTCCTGTAGAGCAGGTTTCTCCTCCAGGATCTGAGCTCTTTGTTGACTCTGGGAGTTTGCCCTGTGATGAGGCAAAAGTCATTTGTCCTGTTAGCCACCTGTCATCTGTCACAGCCCAAGGAGGGGGTGCAACAATGTGGGGTGTAGAGAAGAGCGGAAGAAGCAGGGTGCATTTTGCCTCCTGACAAGAGTGGTAGCCACCCTGGACTGCAAGCTGCATTCTGCGTTTATTTAAGCAGCTTGCAAGGAAGCCCCGGGGCTAGGCCTTCAGGAGTGCAGACGAGAGGAGTCAGGAGTTTGAGTCAGGGCTCTCCCTTTCACTGTGTGACCTTGCCCAAGGTCTGCCAAGCCTGCCTGGCAGCGTTGTTACACACATTCTAGAATTTCCCAGGGGTTGAAATCCAGTTCAGCTACCTGCTGTTTTCAGAACTCACTCTATTCTTATTTTGAAAATCCATGGCGAGTTTTTGTCCTGCTGCTGTTACCTATGTCTCCTCTAACTCTAAACTGCCTGGCACTGCTTCTCCTGGGAGAGCTGCAAGCTGAGCATCAACGATGAGACTAGGAGGCCACAAGGCTTCCTGTGGGGAGGCTGTCACTGGGTAGCAGGCCTGCAGGTCAGGGAGAGTGGCTGAGCAACAAGAGTGGGTGTGCAGAAACACTCAAGACCCCAGTGAGGTCAAGGGAAAAAGAGTCCCAAAGAATGAGGGAAACATTCATGAGCCTGGTGTCCCCTACCACGCCCGTGAGCTGACCATCTGGTGGACCAGATCACAGAATGTTTAATGGACCCAGCCACCAGCCAGCAAGCTTATTTCCCATTCGTAGACCTCCCACGTGGACCTTTCTGCTTCTTCCTTTCCTTGTCTCTGTGCAGCAGGTGTGAGAAGAGCCTGGGGCCCGTGGCTCACTGACAGAATCCCAGTCCATCCCATCCCATGTCCATTTTCTCCTCACATTGCTCTAGTCAGCCCAAAAGAGGAGTGGGCTCTCACCTTCCATCCTGGCTACAGCCTCTGCCCCTTTCAACACTCAGATTTCAGAAACAGGTCCAGCACATAGCAAGAAGGTATCTTACCTTCCATGAACTTGGATCCTTTTTTCCTCCCTTGAGAATCTTTAGATGCTTGTGGGAAGTGAAGCTCTGGATGAGCACAGAATTGCAGCATTTCTCCTTGACCATGGCATCATCTTAGTGTCACTGACCTCCAGCATCATTTCTAACCCTCCACACAGCACTGCCAGAACCTCTTTGCAGAGGACTGACAACTGGTGGTCAACTTATAACACCAGCTGAACTGAATCAGCATGGTGCTGGGTGTGGGGGGCCCATCTGAGGATTGTTTCGAGCAGCGTAGAGCAGAACTGGACAGCAAGAAGTTTAGAAGCTGTTAGAAGCTGTTGGGAAGCTGTGGGGAGCTGTTGGTTCTCCTGGAGGAGCTTGCCATGCTGGCTTTCCTGATGAACTTGGCTGTTCTCATTGTAGGAGGAGCTCGGGACCTCACTGTCGCTGAGAATGGCTATGGTTCACTATGCAGGAGCTCTGGTCCTCACTTTGAACATCGCTTCCTGGCTCTGGAGGGGAAGATGGTGCACTGCTCAGTCTCCTGGAGAAGTTTGTCACATTGGCTTTCCTGATGACAACTCAGCTTTCCTTGTCATCAACCTCACTGTTGCTGAGGATGGCTGTGGTATTTTTCCAGGGAGCTCTGGTTCTTACTTTGAGCATTGCTTTCTGGCTCCAGTGCAGCTCCCTCAGCCTGCTTGTACACATCCTTCAACCCACTGGCACAGACTTTCTAGCTTCCACCCCTGACTTTTGGGCCTTCCCAGCACAGATCCGTGAAACAGGCCTGTATGAGACATTGTCATGGGCTCTAGCCCTCCATTTGGACTTGTGGGGAGCACTGTTATGGGCTCTAGGTCTTCAGCTGAACTCACGAAGGACTTTCTCATGGGATCCAGACCCTCAACTGGGTTTTTTGGTCTTTAGTGCGTGGACAGATTTCCTCAATCTCTTTATATGATTCATTGAGTGACAATTATAAATAATCTTATAAAATATGTGTCCTATATTATAGTTTCCCTTGCAAAACCCCAAACTATAACACTCCTCTACTCTCACACCACCCTCTCACTTACACATACACCTGCTTAGTGCAAGGCAGCTCAGTGCTCTGTGAACAGTGCATCCAGAAAGCTTAGACCAATCGAAGACTCACAGTCTTCCTCTGATAACCGAGTTTTGAATTTTCCTGAAATGTTAATGCTAAAAAGCCACTGAAGTAACCCTCATTTTATGAGAATCAGGTGGGGCACCCTATGCCATCAGTCAGCTGTTTGTTTGGTATACACCTTGACAGCGCACATACTCTGTAGTTGTTCTGGAGGATGGAAACAAAGCAGCTAGCAAAGAAAGGAGAAAAACGGTCAAAGAGTAAAAGTAGGACTGAAAAAGAAGTGGGAGAGTAGACCCACCCGATCCACACACACACACACACCCCTTCCTCCTGCCTGGCCAAGCTGGCTGCTACATCCAAATCTCACTATCCACAATTCTGCTTTTGCCTCATGGGGCTCTAGATTCCTGCTCAAGATTCACTAACAGCCTAGGGGTGGGAAATTGGAGACTTCCTCTCCAACAGATTCCCTTACTTCCATCTCACTACTTACCACCTGCTGGTGCACTGAATCCAGACAGGTCGTTTCTTCAATCTCTTGAAAAGTAATACAGGTTGAATATCCCTTATCCAAAATGCTTGGGACCAGAAGTATTTCAGATTTGGGAATATTTGCATATGAGGTATTGTGGAGATGAGACTCAAGTCTAAACATGAAATGCTGTAATTTCCTATGCATACAGTCTGTAGGCAACTATCCATCATTAATGTGCCCATATTTGGTCCTGTGTGGAATTTCCCACTTGTGCTGACACGTTGGCACTCGGAAAGTTGTGATCTTGGTGCACTTTGGGTTTTGGATTACAGGTGCTCAACTTGTCTGCAAGTCAGATATGTGCTGCATCTTTATGTGAAATGAGGCTCTCCCTGTACTGGTCTGACTCTTCTCTTTCTACCTTTTGTCACTTTTAAAATCTAAACTAGGAAATGCTCATTGCTTTATAGTTTACAAATTGTTACCTCAAATGATTTGGCGCTCATAGCAGCTTGGCTAGATTTTTCACTTTGTAACTGTAAAAAATTAAGGTTCCTAAAAGGTGACCTGCACAGTGTTAGATAGATCAAGGCAGACCTGCAATTTAAAAGCCCCTTGACGCTAAGCCCCTGCTCGTGTCACTGCTCCTTTCCTCACATAGCCTGCGGAGTACCGCCCCACTGTCGCTATCATCCACAACAGGAAGCACATGGTCCTTTTAAAGATGCTGGTTGGTTACGTACTGTGCTGGTTACGTGACTTGGAAATACTCTCCGGAATAATACAGCACCTGTTTTTGGAGTACTTCACTAGACTCTGGGTGTCCCATGCTGCAGCTGATGCTTTGGTGCCAATGTCTGCTCTCCAACCACGAGGACCAGCTTGGTCAACACACACAGCTGCTCTTGCCAACTTGTCTCCTGGGAGGTCCTGCGTTATTCTGCATGTCTATTCCTTTGTGTGCCCTAGCCATCAGGTTTAGCCCTCAGGTTGCCACTGGCAGAAGGTGTGTAAGTGATGGTGCTAGAGTGTTCATAAACAAAGGAAAATATAGTGGAGGTTTAAAAGGTAGTTTTTACCATGGCCCAAAGACCTAGTAGGCAAAGGAAGAGTACCATAATGGAACTGTAGTCTGGGAAGACTAAACAAGTGTGACTCCAAGCGATTCAGTATTAACACCTTTGCACAGACTGTAAGGGCAGCTAGCAAGAGCTGGGTCCAGGTAGCTCTCCTACTTCCTGGAAAGCAGCTTCTAGCACCCACCCCAGTGCCCCATGGGAGCCCAGGTGATCCTGCTATACCTTTACTCAGGTTTGTGAATCTCCATAGGCATCAATCTCCCACTCCTACAAGAAGTCGGTTTCATCATTCCCACAGTCCACACTTGAATCTGATCCAAAAACTTGGTATTTTAAGTAGGAAGTAATGTCTGACAATGTTCTTCTGTATTTCCATATTTGGTCTGTCTATATTTTCTGACTTCTGGAACCAACTTATTAAAATTGTATTTTTAAAAGACTACCTTAAAATAAGACTAACTGTAGGTACCCAGGAATCAGACGTGAATTAGTCAGCCCAGCACCCAACACGACAACCCATTTGTTTTAGTAATCTATCTACAATACCTGTGGTTGATATCACTATCAATACTTGTCATGCTCAAGATGTGGAGTAGCCGTAACAATCTACTATTTTCATCTAGCACAACGCCTTTACTAAGTAGGTCAGTGCTGAATGCATGCAGGGTCAAAGCTTATGCCCCAGCAAGTAAAGATTAAAATCTCAACAGAAAACACCAACTGTTACCACGGGTAATGTACTCCGTTGGTCCCTTTCCCATTTTTC